GCCTCCTTAGTAGCAGGTGGGAAGGAGTGACAGAGTTGGACATCATCTGCGTACAGATGATGTACAGATGAAAGGAAGACACAATTGAAGACCTCCTGACAGATGGCCATCCAGCCTTAAAGACCTCCAGAGAAGGAGACTCCACTGGACTCCCGAGGCAACATATTTAATAATAATAATAATAATAATAATAATAATAATAATAATAATAACTTTATTTATACCCCGCTCCATCTCCCCAGGGGGACTCAGTGCAGCTTACATGAGGCCACACCCATCAATACAGTAAACACAATATAACACAAATGCATAACAAAACCAAAAACATAAAATACATAAAATACAAAGCCAATATAATAAGCAACACAGCAAAATCAAATCAAAACATTAAAAATCAGAGAATTAGACTGGGCAGGGCCAAATTCAATGATAAAATTTTAAAACACAGGGAGATAGGACAATATAAATTATCGGGGAGGAGGATCCAGGGATAAGAAAAGTTTAATTGCACAAACCATAAAATAAAGTGCTTCTGAGGCCATTTATGCAAAGTTTGGTCAGGGAGTATCTTACTTTCAATCATTGAAGGCACATTGGAATAACCAGGTTTTCAGGTTCTTCCTGAAGACTGCCAGCATGGGGGCTTGCCTAATATCTCTGGGGAGTGAATTCCAGAGCCGGGGGGCCACCACAGAGAAGGCCCTCTCTCTCGTCCCCACAAGTCGCACTTGCAATGTGGGCGGAAGTGAGAGAAGATCGAAGAGGTCGTGTGGGTTCGTAGATAGAAATGCGGTCACGCAGGTAGGCAGGTCCCAAACCGTTCAGGGCTTTGCAGGTCAAAACCTGCACCTTGAATTGGGCCCGGAAAATAAACGGCAGCCAGTGGAGCTCCTTAAACGGGAGTTGACCGCTCTCTGTAATTTGCACCAGTTAGTAATCTGGCTGCTGCCCGTTGGACCAATTGGAATTTCCGGCCGTTTTCAAGGGCAGCCCCACGTAGAGCGCATTGCAATAGTCCAATCTAGAGGTAACTAAGGTGTGGACCACCTTGGCCAAATCCAATTTCACAAGGTATGGTTGCAGCTGGCGCACGAGCTTCAATTGTGCGAAGGCCCTCCAAGCAACCTCCGACGCCTGGGCTTCAAGCGTCAGCACTGAATCTAGGAGGACTCCCAAGCTGCGGACCTGTGATTTCAGGGGGAGTGCAACCCCGTCTAGCACAGGTTGCCACCCTATACCTCAATCCGGCCTACAATTGACGATATTTCACTGCCAAATAGCTCTTGCTGTCCTAATGTTTAGGTGTAATATAGTGCATGAACTCTTTCATACTCACTGCAGACTTGTGCATTGGAGCCAGGCCCCACGTCAGGACTCCTTTCCCGGCATACTCGTCTTGAAGTAGCTCGGTAACCTTCGCCCCAATGCCTGAAAAACCGCTGTGCAGGTCGCAGAGGACTTGGAAACCCTATGTAAGAAGCGCATGATGATTGTACTCTGCCATATCAAAGTGCCATTGCAGGAGTGGCACTTCCAAGCTCTTGCTAAATCTCAGTTTACTATCCTATCCTGCTGCATCACAAATACCCTGCAAGGATACTTAAACAGGAAACGACAGTGATGATGCCCATGATCTTATCAAGTAAGGCCAAACACATTTGGGTTGTGGCATAGTCTCATAGTTTCTGCCAGACAGGACAGAGAGTTTCATCTATGCAGACGATCTTGCCATCACCGCTCAAGCAGCGAGCTTTGAGATGGTTGAATAGCTCTCCGAAGCTTTAGGTGCTCTTACTGCCTATTACAAGGAAAACCAGCTGATTCCTAATCCATCTAAAACGCAGATCTGTGCTTTTCACCGAAGAACGGACAAGCATCTTGCGTTCTGAGAATTACCTGGGAAGGAATCCCACTGGAGCATTGCAGCTGGGAGTCACTCTGGACCATGCTCTGACTTACAAGATGCACTGCTTGACTATCAAGCAAAACGTAGGTGCTAGAGATAATATCATCTATCTATATCTATATATATATAATAAAAGTGAATGTTTGTTTGTATGTATGTATGCGGAGGGCGGAAGTGTATGTGGCAGCTTTCTAATTGGCTCCCACTTTCACAGGCCACAGAGACTTGCACAAGCGACGGACCTGGACCAAACTTGGCACACATAACCCCCATGACCCCCTGTATGTCCTGGTGAGGTATGGGGGAGGACGGACAAAGGATGATGGATTTGTAGTACTTTCAACCCCTTCGGCTCCGACAGACCACTGTGGCCCCCAAGAAAGACTGATAAAGACCAAACTTGGCACATAGAGCCCCCGTGAACCAATCTACTGCCTGCTGCAGTTTGGAGGAGGGAGGACCATGGATAATGGGACTCCAAGTACCTCCACTCACTTCCCGAGACCGCTGCGACCCTCATCCGATGACTGATCAATCCGATGACTGATCCGATGACACACTTGGCACACATAACCCCCATGTTTCCCTTTAGTTCCTGGTGAGGTTTGGGGAAGGACAGACAGTGGATGATGGGATGTGTAGTACTTTCCAACCCTTCGGTTCCCACAGAACTCTGCAGCCCCCAACAAAGACTGCATAATGGGATTCGCAGTACCTTCACTAACTGATAACTGATAAAGAACACCTTTGCCACACAATGCCTTTCTCAAATAACCCGGGCAGTGCCGGGTCCCCAAGCTAGTATGAAATAAAGCTGACTGGCACAACCTGGGGATCGCAACCAGATACAGTGAAGACACCTGCCCTTGTGCTTTGCTACTCTGCTGCTAAATACGCATGCCCAGATTGGAACACATCTCACCACGTTAAAGCAGTAGATATGGCTCTTAATGAGACATGCTGCATTATCACAGGATGTCTACGCCCAACTCCACTGGAGAAATTACACTGTTTCAGCTGGTGTTACACCACCTGACATACGGTGGGAAGCAGCAGCCAGCAATGAAAGGACCAAGGCATGGACATTTCGGGCCCATCCTCTGTTCAGATATCAGCCAACACGGGAGTGCCTTAAATCAAGAAATAGCTTCCTAAAACCTACATAGATCCTCGCAGGAACACCTCAGCAAGCAAGAGTCCAAAAATGGCAGGAAACACTTTCTTGCTAAATGCTTAAGACAGAAATTACAGAAACATAGGTTGCTTACCTGTAACCGTAGTTTCCCAAGTGATCACCTGTGAATTCGCACATGTGGTATTTTGGGTATACACATAAGGGTATACTAACGTCAGAGTCCAATTAGCAGTTCGGGTCACACCAGGAGAACAATGACAAAGAATAAAAAGTCCAGACATTTTTGGCAGTCCGATAAGCTTGTCACACGATGAAGGTTCTTAGCGGCTGACAGAGCGGCGGATCAAAAGAACTGATACTTATACTCGCAAGGGGAGAGTGGGCGGGGCTAACCCCCAAAGTTTTTTTCAAATCTATCTAGAACAGTGGTTCTCAACCTGCGGGGTCCCCAGGTGTTTTGGCCTACAACTCCCAGAAATCCCAGCCAGTTTACCAGCTGTTAGGATTTCTGGGAGTTGAAGGCCAAAACATCTGGGGACCCACAGGTTGAGAATCACTGATCTAGAAGGTTCCGATGCTGTTGGCTCAGGTGCAGAAACTACGATATGTGCGATTCACAGGGATCACAATGGAAAACCATTATTTATTTTAATCTGTCCTGTGTAACACCTCTAAAAATCCAAAGCATCAAACCCAACCAGTCAGGTTTGGGTGACGAATGGGGCCCATGACATTTGAAAACACATAGGAAACCAAGCGGTCCCTCATTTCAAACACAGCTATTCATACTGAATGCCTGAAGAGCAGTGCTGACCTGCAGGTAGTCACATTCTTCCACATAGAAATGCAGCCTGTCTTCCAGCTCCTCGGCATACGCAGCGCTTTGTAGCAGCTTTTCTCCTTGCCCAAAGGCCTCGAGTTGACTCGAATCCCTGCAAGAGGCAACATAATTCTGGAGATTATTTTTGTTACATGAGATGGAAAAATCTGCAATGTGTACAGAGAACAGATCCTTACCCTTCGTGACTGTACTGTTGGATGGCTAATGTGCTCCGGGGGTGCAGAGATGTCCGGAGGAAATCCGACCAAACGTGTGCCGTGGCCTCCGAGGGAAGCGTCTCTGGAGCTTCATGCTGCCGCTCAGCATCTGGAAACAAGACCGCAGCCATGAGATGAGTGTAGCCACCACCTCTTTCCCTTGAATCAAGGAACATGAAAGGCACTGCAGACTACTTCAACCAGAGAAGTCAGCCATAGCAGAGCACCTGATGAACCAACCTGGACACAGCATATTATTTGAGAACACAGAAGTGCTGGACCACACCAACAACCACCATGTCAGACTACACAGAGAAGCCATTGAAATCCACAAGCATGTGGACAATTTCAACAGAAAGGAGGAAACCATGAAAATGAACAAAATCTGTCTACCAGTATGAAAAAAACTCTAAAATTGCAACACCAAAACAACAGAGAGTAAACTATCAGGCACATCTAATCACCTCTCAACAAAAGATACCCCCAGGCACTGCCAAGCCATCAAATGCTAATTAAGGTGGTCAGTTGAAACATTCACACCTAGCTCCAGCAGACAAGAGTCCTTTGTCCCAACCTGGTCATTCCACAGATATATAAACCCCTTTTTCTTACTTCCAACAGACCTCACTACCTCTGAGGATGCTTGCCATAGATGCAGGCGAAACGTCAGGAGAAAATGCCTCTAGAACATGGCCAAATAGCCCGGAAAAACCTACAACAACCCAATGATTCCGGCCATGAAAGCCTTCGACAATACATATTTATTATTTATTTATTTCCGACATTTATATGCCACCCTTCTCACCCCGAAGGGGACTTAGAGCAGCTTACAAGGTATATGTGTATGCAATATATTATATTATTAGCATAGTACAATATCATTATTATATATGACTATATTGTACTATACCATTATATTGT